GATAGATGGCGCTGCGAGGATTAGCGACCGCAGCGCCACGCAGCAAAATTTTAATTAGATTCCCGTGGCGGCGAAATCGCGCGGACGCGTCGAGACAATTTATCTTCTAATTACGATCGCGTCGGCTGCGTTAGCGTGAGCATGCGTGCAAGCATCTCTATTCTTCTGCGACGAGCCGAGGCAACGTCGACAATAGAAGAGCAGCGGTTAATTGTTCGCAAAATTCCACCTGGTCGCTTAACTCTCAGTCTTCACGAAAAACATATTGAGCCACTTGCCGCTTGAGGCAAGTATTCTGTAAAATGTACATGCCCGAATGACATTCTAGTTGCACATTTATTTTGCAGGAATATTTTTGGAATATCGAGTAAAGAAGTGTACACCAGAGAACCTCTAAACGCCATTCGTTTCCGCTGTTAACATTTAGTGATTTTAAATTAATACCCTTTAGTTAAATGGCCAGTTTCATTATATTTTATGCGTTTTTAAAGCAGGAGCCCGTCGGGCAAGTGAGCTTGCAATGTTTACATGCCCACCGAGATTTCTAAACGTCTAATTCCAGCTTAATTCGAAGACTGCTAACTCTATGAGAAGGCTGCTTTTTCGAAAGGGCGAAGACGACGCAGAAGATAATATCAGAAGTGTGGAATGGTGCACATTCTAATCCACTGCCACGGCAGCTGAGGTCGATATCAGAGTTATGTACGAACGCGGCTGCAATCAGCAGGGATTCCTAATTTATAGGCACATGTTCGGACGATTAGGCAGACACTAGATTCTAATTACGTCAATTATTTAGCCGAAGCATAAATATTAGAAACTGGTGTGCGTTGTCATTCATGGGCGCGCGCGTGTATTTTTACGTGTCTGTGTGCGAACGCGTGTTTGTTCATGTGTGTATACACGCGTGCGTGCTTGTGTCTGTGAGCGTGCATGTGACTGCATGTGTATGTGTGCGTGCATGTGTGTGTCCGCGCGTTTGTGTGCGTGCATGCGTTTGTGTGCGTGTGCTTGTGCGTGCGTGCGTACGTCTACGCGAGAACTATTGGATTAAATTCAATGCCTACAGAAACGTGCCTTCCCGCTTCGCAGTCGAGGCTTCAGTGAACTATGGAAATCGGAGGAGTGGCGTTAAGAAGTTTTCGCATCAGTTGCGGCGTATCGCTGCGTTGGTCACGGCTCCCCTCCTCCACACAATATAATAATATAATAACAGTATATATAACAATATATTATATAATATGTATATAATATGTATATATATATAATATATAATATATATATAACAATATAATAAGGCTCTGCTAGGCCGTCTACGCCATATCCTCCATACATCCGCAATAACCGAGGCAAGTGGAGGCGGTTGCCCGCGCGGGGGCATTCTATGACATCAATCACAGATTCGTTATGACCGCGCGCGCGTACACGCACGCAGACGCGCACGCACGCACACGAACGCACGCACGCACGCACACACACACACACACACAGCACACAGCACACACACACACACACACACACACACACAGCACACACACACACACACACACACCACACACACACACACACACACACACACAGACACCACAACACACGCACGCACACTAGCGCACGCACACGCGGCTGCGCGCCCGACTGACTGCATGAGCCGATAGGCGCCCGCCGCCCGCAGCGCAACACACGGCGACAGAACATGCGCTGGGCACCCCCCCCCCCCCCCCCCCCCCCCCCCCCCCCCCCCCCCCCCCCCCCCCCCCCCCCCCCCCCCCCCCCCCCCCCCCCCCCCCCCCCCCCCCCCCCCCCGGGGCCCCCCCCCCCCCCCCCCCCCCCCCCCCCCCCCCCCCCCCCCCCCCCCCCCCCCCCCCCCCCCCCCCCCCCCCCCCCACCGGTGGCGGGCGGCAGTCAGCAATTCTAATCGATATACTGTCGTCGGTGGCCGTTTCCAATCGACTGTACAAGAACACACGCAGTTAAAACAGCACTCCTTCTATGTGCCCGCACATACAGTAAGCTCGCATGCACGCACGCGCACGCGCGCACGCACACGCGGGCGGGCGCGCACACACACCTTTGAACGCATTCGGATGTTGGTAGTTTTGCAGTTGTTAGATTCGTGGTAAAGTCATGTCCTCGACAGCCACACTGACTTGACTACGTAACATTTAATCGTGATATCATGGTGTTTGTGTGCATTTGGTAATGAATACAGCAATGCGGAAAGAATTTGAGAAATACATAGAACATAAATCTAGAAGAAGGCAGAGACTAATGCAGCCGCACACGCACGCACGCACACGCGCACGTACGCACCCACACACACGCGCACACACACACACACACACGCACACACACACACACAAACACGCACACACACGCACGCACGCACACACACACGCCCGCACGCACGCACGCACACACGCACGCACGCACGCACACACACACACACACACACCCGACACAATAACACAACAGGAGAATTAATTAACATACGTCATGTATCACCTTATAACAAGAGAAACTAGACAGAGGGCACTCAAAGAGAGTGCATACCTCCGCGAGCGTGTAACATGTATACATGTGTATAACAGCTGGCTCGCTGCTGGCTGCTGCCTGACTGGACGCCCTAAGGCGAGCTGCTGCTGACTGGTCGCCCTAAGGCGAGCTGGTGCTGAATCGATCGCGCCAACGCTACACACACACACACGAACACACACACGAACACACACACGAGACCTATTACATTACCTCCCTGCAACTCCGTTGCGCGGAGGTAACTATAGAAATCCACAGGACACTGATACACAAGAGAGTATAGATGAACACACGCACGCTTGCCAACACACTAGACACAGAATTACACATCAAAAGAAAGCACGGACAAGCATGCAGCGCGGCATATCAAGCGAAGATATAGATATACACATGGGACTCTAACGAACGTAAGAAGGTGTGGCCAAACAAGAGCAGAATTAATGAGTTCGCATCGATTTTTGTTCTCAATGTTTAGCCATTTGCGTAACGGTAAGAAACGAGGAGAATACGTGCACAAGAGAATAACATCCAGCAGTGCTATCTGCTACCGATTTCTTCTCTATCATCGCCAGCCCCCACGGACAATCCTTACTGTATGCTAGCTCTCTCTCTAATCAAAACGCAATTTCACAAATTGCATAGGGAGAAAATCCCTGTAATTGCATAAGAGCGTATTGCAGTGTGACACAGCGCGTGAAGTCAAACCCGCTAAACATACTATGAAAACCACGACCATTGTTATCATTTAAACGTCAAATCGTCATTCCGAAAAACAATAAGATCAATTGCATTCACTAAAAAAACTACAATTGCTGCGTTATATTAATAGATGGATATATATATATATATATATCTCAATTCAGTGAGCTGAATGGTGTATAAAGCTGAACACTATAATAGCAAGTGTTTTAGGTCACTTACTGAATGAATTATAGATATTTTTCGGTACTGTTTGCTGTATAGCTCGCATAAATATTTTATCCTAGTTTACTGCATGCCCTAAGACTAGTGTGCACTCATAGTTTATTCACGATTTCGTGCACGTCACACTACAAGAAGTGTGAAATACCTAACGCATGAGAAAAAAAATATTCAGCAAGAAACGTTCAATTTTTTAAAACTGCACATTTTCTTAAAAATACTATCCGGGCGTGTTTTTTAGCCCAAAAAACTCTGTACTTGAATGCACGTTCACAATGTTATAATAACACTCGCCGCTACTGTGCATATATCACTCCGATGGAACAGCATGTCTTTCATGTGGCATTATACACATCACCACGGGGTGCATAATTTTAAATTATGTAGCAGTTATCCTTCTCTAAATGCCGCGATGCAATTGCTAGTAGTACCACTGATATAGTTACTTGCGTGCATGCACTTATAAGACGCTAACCACTTAAGAATATATATATATGTGTGTGTGTGTATATATATTTGATGATCATGCCAGGGTTCTCCAAGCTTTTTCATTATAGCATGGCGGGTGCTGCCTTTACGGTCCTAGTTGCAAATCACCAAAGGCGGTTTGCGTGCTAGGGGGTCCGGGGGCTATGATATTTAGAGTGGCGGGTGCATTTTAGGATGGCGGGGATCGACGATAGCCTGGCGGGCCGCTCTGCTCTTGGAGAACCCTGCATGCTCATTTGTGTCAGGGAGTCTATAATAGGCCTATTATAGACTCCCTGGTTGTGTGTAATGAATGACCTTCAGGCTGACATTGAATAGCGTCGATGCTGAGAGCTGCCCAAAGGCGATCGAACCAGGATCCCACTACCCTGCTCGAATGCTTGCAATGATGTAGTTCACCTCTGACAAAATTATAGTCAACAGCTCAAACATAGTATTATATAGTTCACACAAAAAACAGGCTGCGACCCCTCACACGCACATTGTTTGAAAGAGTCTGGTTCTCAAACACTGGCTAACACGTTATTAAACCAAATCCCTATCCTGCCTTATACAAACACTGGCTAACATGAGCATTCTAAACGCAACCAACCCCAACCCAAACATTAACACTAATCACCGTCTGACGGGATTTGCCGTTTTACGAGTTTTCGGAGTTTTAAACTGGAGATGTCATTCGGAGTTCGGAAAGCCTTGATAGCCAATAGCATGAACATATCTATTATCTACACACATAGCTGGCAGTCTGACATTATATATACTTGTTTTGTTTAATAATTTTATCAGGCGCTAATAGTTATGAATAAATAATATTATTAGCTCTTGAGTGTATAGATACGTTCATGATAACAAGTACAGCTAAGCAGCTATCTGCTTCGATATTTCGTCACATAGCTATCCGGATTGTGAATAATTATTATATTTTTGATATTTATTGATATTTTACACGTGTGGCAGTACGTATTAGATTCGCAACAGCACTCAAAATACCAAACCACTATATAAAAAAACTTTAATTAATGTAAATATTTCGAGTTGTTTAGAAGGCTAACCTGGTCCATGGTACAACTGGAACGTTGGATGTGAAGGCACCGGCGGGCCTATGCGATTCGGCGTTCTCTGGGCTTCAGGCTTTGTTGCATCCGCACGTCACACTCACACACGTACGCCTTATTCACCCACTGAAATAGTAGAGAGTAATGAGTATAGCAGATGGCTTCTATTCCATTTGGGTAACCTTGATAGAGGTTGCCCTTTTGATTTTCTGACCCTATTATTGATGCTATAGGTGGCAGCAGAAGTGCTGGCAGTAACAAAAGTAGTGGTGGTCACGGAGATTGTAGTGGTGGTGTTGGTGGTGGTGGCGTTGGTGTTGGTGGTGATGTAGGTGGTTATGGTTGTAGGTAGTGGTGGTGGTGGTGTAGGTGGTGGTGCCGGCAGCTGGTGGTGGTGGTGGCGGCAATTGTCATAATAATATCAAGAGCGTATAAAAAAGGTATATTCTTTATACGCTCTTGATAATATTAATGAAGATCACGTTGGTAGTACTCTTGAACAGTTAGCTAGGATAAGCAACATACTTTCTCTTTGGTCAGCAAACCGAAAAAAATGTCATCATTATCACATTACAACAAGGACCAGTGCTATACTTCCATACTAGCTCCCACGCATCCTTTACAGCATTAAATCTATCTATATAAATACAGCTACATGCAGTTTACCTTTACACCCGACCACCGTACACTTGAAGATGTATATAATCCAACGCGAACTTCTTCGAAGACACTATACCCTTTCTTCTTGTGCCCGCTGCCGATGTGGCCAATGGTAGCAGAGACTATAATTAAACCTGCCCAGCTGCACAGCGAAAATCCACGAGCAAGCGTTCACGCCCACGCGGCCAACACACGCGCGCACACGCTCTCCCCTACCTCCGTCTGCCCTACTTCCTCCTCACAACAGTCTTTTTACCTCGTTGACGACGCGATAAAACGCCTTTGTCTATTTACGTCGCGTTTTATCTGCCGCGGGTTCCCGTTTTTACACGAAATCTACCAAAATGGCTGCTGCGTGGAAACGCCGTCATCATGCCTGCCAACCAGTGTATGATTCAAACAGGATGATGCTCCAGCGTGCATTCTATGTGCCGGAGCAAACCGATCAATACTCTACAACGAGCCGAACACTGACGCAAGTGCTTTTGTTACTATATATATATATATATTATATATATATATATATATAGTGTTTTGGAAGGCAGGATGGGTTTCACTTTGATTACATTGAAATCACCGTTTTAAGATTTATTCTAGGGGCCGTGGTTACACAGTAAAAGAGGATAATTCGAAGACTTATCGAACCTAATACCACGTAAAATGTCCAGATTGCACACGATACAATTTCATATAAATCACGAAAATTTTAATGGAAAACATGAACGTGGTTAGAGTAGTTGGGATGAAGTAATCGAAAACCATACCACACGAGAATTGTGAGATCGCTAGCTAAATAGGGCAATAGAAAACCATTACTGTTACACTGCTGATATAATAGGATGAACTACTCATATATCATTGTGTTAAAGTGATTACGTCACCGTAAATAGTAAAAAATAAAAATAAAATATAAGTCATTCTGTTCACTTTTTATGGTTAAATTGCTGCATTATACTTCTTATTTTACTATATTGTTTGATGTGAACATACACTCGTGACGCATACATAGCCCATAGCAAGCAAGTTAGGAACACTCATATCAAATCGTCTAGGTTTTTTGGATTTTTAACTAGCTGAGAAACAATCTTCTCAGGTAAGAATTTGACGATACGTTTAGTCCCGTGAGTTCTTACTTTTAATGTAAAAAAATGGCAACAAAATTTTTACAAATTTTACCATAGAAAATTCGTGACGTAATCACTTTAAGTAGAACGGGGTTGCATATATCAATCTAAATATTACATTTTGGATTGACGTTTTTTTTAGCTGTGTAGCCTAGCCGCATTGCATGCTTCAATTACAATGTTGGGCCTGACTACATGTTATATATAGTATCATATCTGTGATGAGTTGATTTATAATAGCAATTCTTTGATGGCATTTCAGACATTATCACTGGTCGTAGCTTCACCATAAACTATATTCATTTCCCTCAACCTCGAAATAATAACTGATCTCATGCAGAAATATGCCAATAAATGACGTTTCATCAAGAACACCTTTTTGCAAATATGAAGATCAATCATTTCACTGTGATGCCATGCTTTCTGCTACAATGTCACTACAAACACTGAGTATTGCCCCCTGTACTCTGTCAAATAGTAATTCCCACCATGTATATCGCCATGCCTCGTAATGCATGAGACATATATAGATATATTATGATAATAAAATATGCCGCATGACAGATTGGAACGCCGCCACCCACCTTTAAGTTAACACACGCGCACGCGATTTATGTTTAACCTATTTCATGATATAGCACACTGGCCAAAGTACACTTCTTTAACACTTATTTTTCCAAGACCAAATCAATATACGCAGACAAAGTAAACCCACCCGGAACGACACATTGGCTACCTGTGCTTGTACGCAGACCTCGCGTAACTGCCACAGCTGTTATCGTGTTTGCTACCGTGCTAACACCAAACGGGACTCCTGGTGTTTATAATTAACTTTGCCGACGCTTTATCAACAGATGTTACACGTAGAATCGTGTCACTGGCTCCATTATCTAGACCTGCTGACCTGTAAATGTCTATACGATGCGATTTTATCATCTCATTTAGCCGCCACTGTACAATGAAATTCGTAGCATCACGCATATATCACCACTCACTTCAACAAATTCAAGATACAAAGTACACGCGAGGTACAGCATCGATTACACAGCCGTGTTTGTCATCTCAGATCAACTGCTCTGAATGTTCGCATAACCGTGGTAGTCTAAATATTTCCATTAGTCAGATAAAATATTACAGATTGGCACATATATTCATTCCACATAGAGAACAAAAACAGAAGCACATACATGCAGGTGTACTTCTGTGATCTACTTCTAATCATAGTATTGTATAGGTTATAATAGGAAGTTATCACCTTATAATAAAGATAGTGTCAGGTACCTACAGTATTTTAGATATTCATATATTGATACAAAAGACACAACAACAAAGCACATATCTCGATGTACTGTTGATACTACTAATAGAAAATACACAACCACAAATTTAACACACATTAAATTTGAATATATAAATATTTGGTTCTAGGACAAATACTCCCGGACAATTACCCCCCAGACATTTACCCCCCGGACATTTACTCTCCGGACATTTACCCCCCGGACAATTACTCACTTGGTGTTCATTATTTATTGTTGAACAGTGATACAAGAAGGAAGTCGAGGAGGAGGGGAGAAAGTGGTGGAGGAGGAGGAGGAGGGGCAGAAGGTGGGGAGAAGGTGATAGAGGAGGAGGAGGGGGAAAAGGTGGACGAGGAGAGTAGGAAAGGAGGTGGAGAAGGAGGAGGAGGGGAGAACGTGGGGAGGTGGTGGAGGAGGGGGAGAAGGTGGAGAAGGAGGGGGGAGAAGGTGGAAGAGGAGCAGAGGACGTGGAGGAGGATGAGGGGGAGAACGTGGGTAGAAGGTGGTGGAGGAGGGGGAGGAGGGGAGAAGGTGGAGGAGGAGGAGGTAGAGAAGGGAGGAGGTAGCGGAGGGGCAGGTGGTGGAGGAGGAGGAAAGAAGGCGGTAAAGGAGGCGGAGAGGAGGGGAAGGAAGAGGAGAGGAGGTGGAGGAGGAGGGGGGGGAAGTGGGCCCAAAAAGTGGTGGAGGAAGAAAAAGGAAGAAGGTGGAGGAGGAGGAGAAGAGAGGAGGAGAGGAGGAGAGGAGGTGGAGGAGGGAGGAGGTAGAGGAGGGCGCCTCTACCTCCTCCTCTCCTCCTCCGCCATCACATTCTCCCCTCCTCCTCTTCCTCCTCCCTCAACCACCACCTGCACGTCCTCTCCCCCTCCTCCTCCACTACCTTCTCCGTCGTCCTCTAACTCCTCCTCTAAATGTCCGGGGGGTAAATGTCTGAAGGGTAATTGTCTGGGTGGTAAATGTCCATGGGGTAATTGTCCGGGGGTGATTGTCCGGAGGGTAAATGTGATAACAGAAATTTGATATTAAAAGACAAGTAGAAACAAACATACCATTTTTGGGCAGAGACTAATTACTGTAATATGAGCAGGTACCCCCCTCATGTGCCATCAAAAAATCTTGAAACTGTTCATTATTACTGACTTTTGCTGTGCATTTCGACTTGCCCATACACGTACTATGAGTATGATAGGCACAAATAATGCAACGTATAACATTAATTGCAATTAAGCATTTTGCCAAGAAAGTACACAAACACAAATTGGACAAATGTTATAAACACATTCGTTTTTTATAAATCTAGAATTTGTTGAAGTGGGGTAGTTAAATTATGAGCGATATGCTACTAATTCCATTCTACCGTGGCGACGAAGTCTCAAATCATATCCTATAAAACTGTTTTGTATTTGTCGCCAGACGGGTTATTCGACAGGACTGCGATGAACTGTTGTCGCGTATATAAGCAGTGGCAGCCTTTTGCATAGACTAGTTCGGTGAGAGTTGGCAATTTATTGTAACCTATTTGTGAAGCCTTTTTTTGTGCGATTTGTTTTTCAATTTTATTTTCTATTTGTGATTTGTTACGAAAGTTACACTAGTTATGAGGAAGAATTCTTTAATTGCACCTACGCAAAGATATGACGAGTTATATAATCTAAGATGTAGCTGAAGAAAGTCCAGCCCAGTCTGCCGAGCGTAGCAACCTGTACGTAAGCTTATTTTAATATTCAGATGTTGTCACTGTTGTGCACACCAAAAATGTGCCATTGACGGACGCGAGTATGTATCAAAGCCATAAAGTACACGCAGAACGCTCGAGTGGTGACATCTATGATCTTATTCGCACGCCGCGCATGCAGCTATCATCGCCCGAGCTTTTGTCGAAACTGCCTAGCTTGCTTTTCAGACTGGAGTCCAGCAGGTAGAAGTATGAACCTGTAATGTTCCAACAGTCATAAGCAGGCTAACCCGAAGATAGGCTTGATTCTTGAACAATACACAGGAACACCGGCATTCTAAAGGACAGAACATTTTCATACTCTCTTGTCACCACAATCCAATTCTCCATTTAAGGAAATCCTAAGTAACAGCACAGTGCTTGGACCTCACCCTTTCCAGTGCTGCTACACCAATGACCTCTCAGTTCAGGTTCACAACCCAACTTTGTGATATTTTGCAGATGACTGCCTGCAAAAATCTCACATCTTATCCGCGAACAGACACACTAGAAGATGTAGCCAATTTACCTGCAAGAATTACAGCAGTGGGAAGAAATCTGCATAATAAAACCCACTAAGTCTGAGGCTAACACATTTATGAAGAAAAAGAGTATCAGAACAAAAGCATTCGCAGGACTACCCTAGAGTCCTTTCCTTTGGCACCAGAATGAATCACACACACTGACAACACCACAAAGAATGTCAGCAACACCAGTGCTTCCTCCAGTGCAACATCAACATAACCGGCCATTTTGGTCAATGAGTGATGCTAATATTCATTGCCTTTATTTTGCATACCGTAGATCAAGATTGCTGCCTGGGATCCATCAATTCAGTCCAAGAAACATGGTATAGAGACGATGCAGTAACAAGCTGTACTCTTTATCAACACTCACTCTCTAATCACAAACCAGAGTTAGAAATGAACTTTTGAACAAGGGAGTCCAACGGACTGCAGTCTGAAGTTCAAAACGAAAGATATTAGCAATAACGCATGTGCTTATTTTGAAGATTCATGTGGTTGCACGTCTGCCCAATTTTCTTTGGACATTTGCTGAAAAAATATGGCAATTCCTCGAGGCCGTGCTCTGGAACGAACTAGTTAGTATAGCAGAATTTTCAGGGAGTCACACAGACTTCTGCATGTGTCAAATCAGGGAGTCCAACAGTAAATCAGGGAGTATTTGACTCCGAACTCGCGTTAATTTTGCAGCCCTGCAAACTTACCATCAGACTGAGCATCACAGCCACGATAGAGGCTCTGGCATGGACGACGCTAGAGAAATGTCCAGAGAAGCATTGCTATGTACAAGATATAACCTACGATTCAATCAGTCTGACAACACAGACTATAGACTTATGACCGTGAGACACATTTTACGGCAGACCTCGCTCACAACCCGTCATCCACAATCAGGAGTTACGAGTGAATGCCTTTAACCAGAGTTTCGTTCCCAGCTCTGTCAGACTGTGTAATATCGCTGCTGCATGTATGCGATGGGATGGTTGAAGGCTTTTGGAGAAGTCTTGTCCCAGGGGCGTGTACAGGATGTGTACCAGGGGAGGGTCTAACCGTAACCCAAACTTGCAAGCACGCGAAGGGGGGGTCTGGGGACCTCCCCCCAAAAAAGTTTGAAATTAGACCCCCTTAGATGCGTTTTCTGTGCGAGCAGGGGGGGTCCGGACCCCCTAGACCCCCCCCCCCATACACGCCAGGGCTGTGTCCTAGAGGGAGCCATCCTCACCTACTACACAAAACAAATACACGACTAAGCAGGGAAGTAATAATACTTTCAAGTCATGGCTTCCACCCCCACATGCCTAGGTGCCACTTTGGGAAGGCACATTACTGCACCCAACTCATTATTTATTACCTACATGCTGGTTTGTAGCTTGGTTTCATTCTCTGAAGGCATGCATCTCAGCACCTGTCATCCAGTGTAATTGGCACCGGCAAGTATCAGAACATGACATAACAATTACACACGATTTGCTTTCATTGTATCCCTGTGACGAAATCTTTCGTAATTTGAATGCAGTCAGGATTTGGTGTAAGCGGAAGTAGCTGACAACTCTCGCTACCTCCCCATCATAAGACTTGAATGGGTAGTGCTGCATGTACACCAACCATCCAGAAATGCATGTCACTGCATGCACATAGGGATGGGTACTTTAACCAAAAGATAGCAACATTGACAAGAACAACAAAGATGAAGAAAAAAAAGCGCTCGAGACGAAGAAAAAAAAGTACAAGAAGAAGAAGAAACCACTGGTTTATCATGGCCGGCACACTGTATCATGGAAGATATAGATATTGAGAGATAGATTACGCATGCTGGGTCAGTGGGTGTAGGAAAGTAGACTTGCGTCGTATACTTTTATAGGCTTACTCAGACTAGTGTTAGCGGTGTTGGAAAACTTAGCTCTACCCCCAGTGTGAGTGTAGTACTTACTAGTCCCTTCGCTCCCCTTCGCTAGAGCTAGGAAACTGCTCCACATCTGAAAGCAAAAAATGATAGCCTAGGCTATAGGTTAGTAGGTAGAGCCAGGCAAAATGTAGCCACAAGTTACCTTCTCGCTTCTCACCACGTGGCCTACGACGTGAAACAGTCGTACTCGTAGAGCTTGGTCGGGCTAGGCAAAATGAAAATGGAAATTGACGTGTAAAGATGACTCAGTCACTCGATCAGTACTACTCAGACATTCGACTTTGACACCTGTTTGCAAGAGAAACAATTAACTCAATCAATGCAGCCCATTGGACAAATTTCACATGTTAGAGTAAGATAAAGTACTACCTTAGAAGCGTCAACCGTGCCCTAGCGCTGGGATCTATCCAACAGCGATAGCTATAAAGTATCAAATGAAATGGTGACACTTACCTTGTGAAAGACGTGACTTTTCAAATTACATCTTCGCCGCGCCACACATGAAATGATGTTGGAGCGCCACCTATGCCGTAGAAAATGCACGATTAAACTCACCAATCGTAAATAACTAGTATTGTGTCGTCACTCGTTTGACCTAGGTCGCCGATATACGTATGTACCGTATACCTCTCCGAAGGCTGTACGTGAGTGAGAGCTAGAAGATCAAACACCTACCGAGGAGACAGAAATCTATCATTTGAAAACTGTTTCTTTACAGACAGCAATGAATTTGAGTGTTGGCGTGTTGCTGGGACTGTGTCTCTGTACACGGGTCATCGGCGTCTACTTAGAGGTATGTAAATGTTAATTGTTTACCTGTTCAAAAACGTACGTGTACGACTCTCTGTTGTTTATCTTCTTGGCTTGGCTACCTGGGGGCCTGTGCGGTGGTGTAAACTGGCTTTCGCGATAAGCTACCGTGCTATTTGCTTTACGCATGCTGAATTACTGTAACAGCGCAATAGACGTGTATATTACAGAATACAGTACTATTACTAGTAGTACTAGTAGTATCTAGTAGTTTTGTACCACCACTGGCCCTAGTATATGTGAATCTATGTAGCAGTAGTGTGACGATTATATTGTACTGCGTGATAGCCGGCAAAGCTAGACTACTTCAGTGATTCGCTACAGTAGTGCTTTAATTGCGTTTTTCCTCATTTACATGTTGTTGCCCTACTAATATAGTACTATTACTCGTTATAAATTCGATAAGCTGAAGTCAATGACGATGTCTATAAATGACTTTAATTACAACATGAATCCTCTCACGACTGCGCGATCGTTCTATAAGGCTGTACTATAATTAGCATTGCGGCTTCTGCAGCTGGCATGTATAGTTGCACTTCAATCTGTAGCTCATCTCGATGGATATTATACTCTCGATGGGTATTATATATATACTTCAGTAAACTACTCTTTGCAAAATGAGTTTTCTTGATGCCATTGTGCAGCTTCGTGTCATATCGCAATATTTGACAATAGTGATAGTGATGTGCACACTTCGTAAGTTGTGACAGTTTGTGCTGTAAGAAGTATTCGGTTTAGAGAGCACAGGCCAGTGAACTTGGCTTCAGTTCAGACTATATGGCCGACTTGGCGAAATATGGGGTGAATTCAGGGCAGTCTGGTGATGATACGTGTTTCTGCCAGGGTGTTGGTTGTCTGGTTTAGTTTGGCGGGTATCTGGCGTGACGTGAACACAACAGAGCCAACGCTTGACCGAAAAGCGTATGATACAGGCCTACAACTGAGTGATCATAGTATCAGGAGCTAATAATGACATTATTAGCTCCTGATAC